CTCCCTTCCCCCAGGATAATGTCATCTGCTTCCTGTGTAGGAGAGCATTTGCTAAATCCAGGTTGTCTCATGCTTAACTGCCAATAATCCAACTTCCACATAACTCCCAGACAGCTGGGAAAAGGTCCTCGGAGTTTTTAGTCATGGTACAGAAACACACGTCCACACTAAAAATCTGCAGCTGTCCTTTTTCTCTACACCACATTTTTTATCTGATTTTGGGGCCCAGTCCTGAAAGTCTTGACAAATTTAAAACATTTTTACCTACATTCTGGTTTACAAGCGCCAAAGAAAGCTACAACATGCTCCTTCCCCCCCACTCCATCTTCAGCTGACAAATCAGCACATATTTGCTTGAACAAAAAGCAAAGGGGAAGAAGGGAAAAAACAAACCATCACCCCAATCAACATCCTCAGTCCTTGTATGAATGCATTCAAAAAAACCTGGAAAGGCATCTACTGTATTTTTTTTCAGTACAGATCAGCCACTGGTGCACCTATTAAAATTGTTCGATTTCCAAAGCAAATATTATTTTTAATGAAGTGCAGTCCTGCAATTATCCTGTACACTCAAGTAACAGTACTGCATTATATTGTTTTGCAAGGTCTCAGAAACATGAAACTTTTCTCTAACTAATTTTCATAGCCCCCTAAAGAGAAACTGATGAAGTAAGCAATGTAGCATTTGCTCCAGAACAAAATCTTATGGGGGGGTGGGGGGCGCGGAGAAGAGACAGAAAATAGGGTAAAATCAAAAATAAATCAGCTTCTTTACTGAAAGTAAGTTAACAAACACAGTCTGTTTGCCACTGTATACCAGCTATGCTAATGCTATAGCAGAGTGATTCAGCAATCTACCTAATTAAGCACAAGGAAAGTTTCTTTATGGAGGTTCCATTTGATTTACACCACGGGATCATCAGTTCTTATTTAGCAGCTTGTTTTTACACAAGTCCAGAAACTTTATTAAAAGCATGTCCACTTTGTTTTGTTTTTTTTTTAAACAAAGCAAATAATTCACTCTCCACTGAATAGCTCTGTATCATAAAGTACCAAAGTGCTGACATATTAAGTTGTATCTACATTATTAAACTAGCTGGTGGACGTTAATACTATAATCCATACTGCAGACATTAAACCTCAACCATAAAGATTAGTAAAGAATTAATATTGTCACATCGAGACTGAAACCTTAACACTCCAGCCATAAATATTTCTGAAGGAGATGAAAAACAATTAGCATAAATACCAAAGAAGGGCAAGAACACCTGTTCTTTTTCAGGGCGATAAGCATTTTATTGTTCTCTATTTAAAATGTAATGACCTGTGTAATTACAGTAATATTACATTGTATTGCAAGGGCTTGGAATGTCACACTTTGAAAAGTGTTGTCAAAACAATTGGAGGGAGGAAAAAAAAGGACCACCATTAACCCTTCACACCCCAGGGTCTACAGCTTTTGTATTAGGAAGGATTACGTTGTCTGATAAAGGAAAACATCAATTTTTCGAGCCAATTAAAGAAAAAAATGTTTCTTTCTAAACATAAAAATTGAGGCAAGGGCTCTGTTGTCCAACACAGTTATTCCCAACTACCAAACTTCAGAACCCAACACAAGCTTACCCCTACAGTTTCACTCAGCCAGCAACAATTTACTGGAAAGGTGCAACAGCACTAGCAAAAATAAGAGCATCTGTCAGCAGAGTTTTCTCAAATCACGACGCATCTATTTGCTCACCGAAAGCATTAACCAAGCTCCAAATTTAGGCTAAAAATTAAGTACACCACTTATTCATTTTCCAACTCTGAAAGGAAAACAGTCTCCTTTATTATCGCTAACAGGCAGCTACCCCACAGCCTCTGCAAGTGCAGGGATGGAACTGGTGCTCTCAGATGCGTCACTTCATTACTATTTGACTAGACTTCTACTTAATACACATCTATTCTTACAAGCAAGCCACAGTATTCTATCAATAGCAAGATTAACATGCAAAAAATCTCTGACTTTTAGAAATAAAATGATTCCTATCAAGCTTGAGAAACAGTCTGCAGTATTTAAAGCATTATCCTTGAGATAACAGATTATTCATCATCAACAGATTTTATGATACTTCATAATTCTTCACATTCCTGAAGCAGTAAAGGAGAAAACGCTGCCCACAAGTTTGCTCCTAAACAGACAATTACAGGTATATTTACAAAACACAATAATCCCAAATAAAACAAAAAGAACAAAAATCCAGGGGAAAAAAAACCCGCAACAAAAAAACCACACCCACTGACTTTTAAGATTCTACAACAGCAAAAGGAAAAAAAAGCAATTTTGCTACATATCTGCATCACCTCTTTACCTTGCATGCTCTGACACTCAACAAATATGGCTCCAGGAAAAACTACATAAATAAAAATAAAATTCATAATTATGCAGAATCGTCTATACCTTTCCAACCTGTATTTAAAAATAAAATAAAATCAAAAAGGGGAGAGAAAGATCTAGTTCATCTGGAATTGAAAGCTGGTACAGCAGAGAACTAGAATCCACCTAAAAATAGTGTGTGACAGACAACAGCTATCCCGCTGAATCTTTATAATATTCTGCTCTCAGGCCTAAATAAACAACTTTAATTTTTCCTGGCTATAATTAAGTGGCAGGCAAACAAACAAGCATACGGAATGTGAAAGAATAAGGTTAAGAAGATAGGAGAAGGTTGCTGGAGCCTGAATGTGGAAATAAGAAAATTGCCTATTGAGTGTGGAAATATCCTTTCAGAATTCATCTGATAACACAAGCAGGCCACCTGCTATACTAACAATAAACCAACCTGTAAGCTTTTGTACAGCACCTTTAATTCACACAAACCCAACATTCCTATGGAGGCCTTTTCTAACTGTGGGGGGAGCAAGGGGAGGAAAAATACTCCAGGAGAGCTAACTGCTGAAGGATCCTATCTCCACATGCTAAGCAAAAAAGGATCTGTAATAAAAGAAACAAGGAAAAAAAGAACTGTAGCTGTTGTAAGAAAAATGCTTTAAGAAAAAGGCAGCAGAGGTGTGCTTCCTATTAGTGTGCACTTAGAACAGTGGAATGCACTGAAGGTAAAAAGGAGGAAAAAAAGGAACACAAAGCTTCACAATTCATAACAAAGTGATCTGTAACAAAGATTGTTTTGCCATCTGGATTCCGGTAGTTATGGAATTTGGAATTTATCACCACCATCCATATACATGGGTGACCGTACTGAAAAGAAAAAAAAAATAATGCATTCAGCCCCTGAATTCCCCTCCCCATCATTACAATTGCAAACTGCAGTCACCCCTCTGCTACTGTCCCAGAAATCACCTCCTCGCAAAAAGAGCCTCACAAGCTTCCAAAACAAAACCCTAACACAGCCCTAAATATATGCAAAGTCAGAAAACCTTCCTCACAACCTCCCTGTCACTCTGCATTTACTAATCTGTGTCTACTGACGTTTTACTAAGTGAAAACAAGACTGACCCGATGTTTAATATTTTAATGCTTTAAAACACTTGTAGATCTGATACACTGAAGTTGTCCAAGCCCTCAGTCATTAGTACGGCTTCAACATCTACCCAACAGTAGATCTATTATTGTAAATCGCTATCTCGTGTTACCACAAGGAAAAAAAAAAGTGTATAAACACACATGGTGATGGTGGGGACGCTTCAGATTCAGAAACACAGAGAAGAAACAAAACAGCAACGCCAAAGCCATGGGAAGGAGTAAGTGGTGTCTGGAAGTTCCAGTGGATTCGACCGTTTAAAATGAAAATTTTTTAAAACTCTTTTAAGACAAAAGTGACACTTAAAAAATCTGATGTCAGAGCAGAGCACACTACGAGTGGGTGACACTACGAGCGGGAAAACAGCTGAGACTGCAAACCCACCAGCACAGCCCAAAGTTTCCTGGGATCTGGGCTAAACCTCGCTCTAGCTGCAGGCACACGCAGACCTTCACCCCCGCCACTGAACCCCAACTTAAGGGGGGGGGGGGGAGGGGGAACAAAAACGGCAGAAAACCCAACAACAAAAAAAAACCGGACGCTTTCAGCAAACTGTTTTCCTGCCAGCATACTTCCAGGAGGAATTTTGCTCGACTTGTCTGATTATTTTCTGCGCCGCTGTTGTTGTTGTCAGAGCCAAGCGAGGCGAGTTGTTTCCGGGCTCAGCCCTGTGCCCGGCTCCCCCCGCCACAGCCCCGGCCCGCCGGGCAGGGCAGCCGCGCTCGGCCCCCGCACGCCGCGGGGCGCGGATCGGGGCGGCCGGACCGGGCTGAGCCCCGGCTCAACTCGCGGCACCCGCGGCCCGAAGGGGCACAATGAAATCGCCGCTCCCGCAGGCCGGGGCGGGCGAGGGCAGGAGAGGGTTAAGGGGGAGGAAAGGGGAGGGGGAGCCGGCCCAGCCGCCACGGAGGAGGGCAGGAGGCGACGGATCACCATGGAAAACGAGGAGTTTGGAGGAGCGGATCGCAGGCTCGGCTGGGAGAAAATGACCCCCCTTTCCCCAAGGATGGGAGAGAAGGGAAAAGGGGGGAAAAAAAAAAGGAAGCAACTCCTCGGTTGTTTTTTTTTTAAATTATTCCCATTTTTGTTTTGAGTTGTTGTTTGGAATTTGTTTGCTTTTCTTTTCCCTCCCCACCCCCCGCAGGGGGAGGTTACGAGGGCTCCAGAAATTTGCCCGCAAAACTGAAAGTAAAAACAAACAAACAAGAAGAAAAACGAAGGGGGGAAAGAAAGGAAAAAAAAAAAAAAGGAAAGAGAAAAAAAAATAGTATGGCGAAGTGTAAACAAACCCCCTCCCGCCGCTGCCCGCGGAGTTTGGAAAGTTTGCGGCGCGGGGGAGGGGGCGGCGGGCAGGGCCGGGACGAGCGGGGCACCGGGAGCGCGGCGGCGGCGGGAGCCGGGGGAAGGACCGGTGGGGAGGGAGGGGGGGGAAGGGAGGGAAAGGAAAGAGAGTGGGGAAAAAAAAAAAAGGGCACTTACCGTTCTCGCCGTCGGAGAGAGCGATCCATTGGGCAGATACGGGCTGCTGAGGTCGGGGATCATTATAAAGGGATAACCCGGGTATGGTGGGCCCTTAAACAACCCTCCATCTTGCCTCTTCGCAGCTAACATGGCGGGGAGACACGAGCGGGAGCGGGGAAGGAAGGGGGCAACAGGGGGAAAAGAAGGGAGGGAGGGGGGAGGAAAACTTTTTTTAGCAAGTGTCCCCAAAAGGGGAGCCGGGCGCCCGGCGGAGGGGCGGCGGGGCGGGCGGGCGGCGGCGCCGGCCGGGCCCGCGTACTCACCTTCTTCTAAACTTTCCCGGGATTTATCTCTGAAAGTTTCGGACCGAGGCGGGGGCCGCCGCTCCGCCTGGGAGCAAGCCGGGGGTCGGCGTGGGGCAGTTGGGGAACAGGGTGGTTGGCGTGGGGAGGGTGTTTTTTGGGGGGGTTGTGGGGGGGGGGAGAAGGGAGGAGAGGAGGAATGAAAAGCGAAGGAGAAGGGAAAAAAAGGTGCGGGGAAGAAGGTGGAAGGAGAGAAACAAACAGAACAAAACAGAAGGCATCGTTACAAGTTGGTGCCGCGGAGAAAAGTTGGTCGCCGGCGGGAGCGGGACCCGGCGCGGCGCCCCCGGCCCCGGCCCCGGCGCGGCCCCGGGCGGGCAGCGCGGCCCCCGCCCGCCCGCCCGCCGCCCCGAAACGGCCCCGCGGGGGGCTTCCCCCGTACCTCCGAGTCTGAGGAGCTGTTTTGATTCGTTTCTGATTCATTGACGAGAGACGACTTGACATCAGCTAAATCCCTCTCCGCCGAGGAGTTCTCGGAGATCTTCTCCTCCTGCTCCCCTTCGTCTTTGAAAGAGATCAGTTCATCGTTGGCGCCCAGGTCGTCCCCTCCACCGCCGTTCAGCTGCGGCATTTTCCTCCTGCCTCACCCCACCAGCAGCAATTTTGCAAAAAGGGGAAGGGGAAAACAAAAGAAGAAAAAAAAAAAAAAGGAGGGGAATGGGGGGGAAAAAAGGAAAAAGAAGAGGGGAGGGGGGGGGAAAGTTTGCACCAAAAAAAGAAGAGTCCAAGGTGAAAGTTTCTTTTTTTCCCCTTCTCTTTCCTCCTGGGGAGGGGAAAAGAGGGAGGAGGAGGGGAGGGAAATGTCTCTTCTTTGCTCCTTTGCACCAGTGACTTTAGGCTTCTTCCTTTCCTTCTTCGGGATTTTCTCTTTCTTTCTTCCCGGGAGCTGCTCGGCGTGCACTGCGCGCACACGCACACCCGCGCACGCACTCGCGGAAAAATTAATAATAATAAAAAATATATAAACCGTGGGGAGGGGGGGCTGCAGGGGGGGTAAAAAAAAAAAAAAATAAGGCAACAAACCAAGCCCAGAAGTCAGCTGTGACGGGGGGGGGCAGTCGCCGCGGATATGGGGAGCCTGTGCCGCTCGGGTTTGAGTGAGTTGAAGTTGGACTGAGAGCTTTTCAGTTCAAAGGCGGCGCTGATTGACAGATAGAAAAAGGGGGATCGAAATCCGGAGGAACGGAGAAGTCTGGGATCCGGGATTATTGACAGGGAGCGAGAAACACACCAGGCACTTAATGAGATGCAGGAGGGGGCGGGGGCTCCCCGGTGACGTCTGCATAAATAAACAGGTCTGGGGCGCGGGAGGGGGAGGAGGAGGAGGGTGGGGGAAGTAGGAAACTAACAATGATCCTTTTTGGCATGGGAGCGGGAGCGCGAGGGGAGGGCACCGGGGGCGGGGGCGCCGCTGGGGGGGCCGGGACGCAAAAGGGGGTGGGGGGTGGAAAAAAAAAAAAAAAAGAAAAGAAAAAAGGGAGAAAAATTAAAAAAAAAAAAAAATCGGTGTGCTGTAGCCCAGAACTCTGGGACGGGGGGGAGCGAGGGGAAAAGCACCCGAACGGGTGTCCCTGTCTCCGCGCTCCGGGAGCGCCAACTTTTACATTCTGGGCATTAATAAACATATCATCCCCCTGCAGCCCGGGTTCTCCTGACGGATGTGTGTGTGCCCTTATTATTTGGGTACATGTGACGGTAGAGTGGTGGGGTGGGTGTTTTTTTTCAAACCGTTAACATTTTTCATGCTACTCGTTGGAGGTGAGAAACTCCAATCATAATAAACACTAGAATATAGTAAAAGCCTTTTTTTTTTTTTTTCCAGCAGCACTTGCTCCTTGCATTTATTATGGTTATAACACGCAGGATGAAAATGTGCGAGATCACTCGCTGAAGATCAGATATTTCCAAATTATCTTATAGTAAGGCATAATGTTTTCTGGTCCTTGATGAAAAAAAAAAAAAAAAAAAAAAAAAAAAAAGGAAAGGAATGTGACTGCTAAGAAGTTAATTAGCATGGCAGGACGGAGAATCAAGGACTCCCAGACTTCAGAAGTGAAAAGTTGTGGTGGCGTAAACATCACGCTGCTGGGGGGAATCAAAGTGAAAGCGGCTGGTCCCCGCAAGGAGGAGGGGGGTCCGGGCGGGGGTCCCCGCGGGCTGCGGGGGGTGCCCGGTCCGCTCCGGGGCTGCGAAAGTCACCGGCCGGGGCTCTGCCTGCACGGCAACAAAATGGGGAGCAGAGTCATGCGGATGCAAGAAATGGCATCCGTTCCCCCGAATCTTAATGTGGCGAGGGGGGAAGGGGGAAACAAATTGATCTTCCAGCAGTGACAAATTGTAACAATGGACGAGTCAATTGGAAACTTTAACATGGGCAAGGAACAAAAGGAGGGGAGGGGGGTTGGGGGGGGGGGGAAGACAGTAATTTCAATGGGAATTAGTAAATTGCCTAATGGAAATGGTGTTTGAAAGCAAGGGACAGGCTGTACTAAATAATCCAAACATTCCTCTAGAAATCTAACCTGCTGCTCATGCTAAGGGTCATTCAGCACATAGGGTTTCCAAAACAAAGCCAATTTGTCATGCAATATTTAGAGAGTTTGGGGGTTTCAGCTAAACTGTCTTCTATAAAAAGAATAATAAAAATAATAATACAGAGATCGACAAGGCTAACACGAATTCTCAGGCATTAAAAAGTTCACATAGAAATTTGCATACTAAAGGGAAAGATGCAGACAAAATAGAAATAAAAAAATCACTGCAACTTACAACTTTAATATTAATCAGTAAAGCAGAAGTAGAGTGAAAGGAAGCATGAAAAGAAGTAAAACAAATGTGTACATTTAATCAGACAGGATTGCATAGGACACAAAGAACAGGGCTAATTAGTCTCAGCAGGTAGGGACTAACCTTCAGACTTCATAAATAAATAAGTCTGTGAACAATGTCTAAGTGGGAATATGGAGACAGAAAAGGGATTATTTTAAGACACCAAGTAAAAACATGACTAATGAAATACTTCACTGTTAACTCAATGTACAAATGCATTGAACAGTTTCTTTTACCACTGGTCTTTTGACTAACTTGCTTTTTACTTTCAGAGATTTTACTAAATAACTGTCTGTGGGCATGCACGCTCCCCATTTGCCCCTGATTATGTACTTACTGTCTTTGCAAACTAGTGCCTTGCAGAGTGACATTTTAACAAATATTCTCCATTTTTGTTTGCTTTTTGATTTTTAAAATGCCTTTATATCCCAGAACAATACGAGATTAGAAATACAAATGTGACAGACTCCTATTTACTTTGCAGGGCCATGTGTTATAATTTGATCCAAATGAACAAAAACAGTTGCACAGTTTTGTTTTGTTTTTCAAAGATCTTTTCACAATCTGCTATGGATTTTTTCTTAAACAAGCATGCTTTTGCTTCAGTCCTGTTGTAGTTGCTAACTACTTAGTAAGCAATATCAAAAGTTGATGTGTGCAAGACAGACCCAGTTGTTGCCCAAATGTGGTTGCAGAAAGTGATCCTGATTCTGTAGAGCGTCATACGTGCAAGTACCATCACTAACAGACTATCTGTGAGGGTGATACACATGTGAACTACTCGTGCAAGTAACATTACTCACGTGAGTAAATGTTGGTAGAAAGGAGCTTGGCACTGTTTGCCCCAGTGCCACGTGGCGGTTCTGGATGTAGAATATGTCTCTGGAAGGCCCAGAGATGTGAAAGCTGTTTCCTGGGCACGTTTTCACGCCTGGAGTTTTGCCACTGCAACGGACTCAGAGGAGCCCCACAAAGGGCCAGGAAACTCCTTTCTAGTTTTCATGGCAACATCAAGTTCTTGGTATTGGAAACTTCTGGAGGTTTGTTTTCAAACTGAAACTGAGTGTGGTTGTGAAGTCCGAGGATTTGCGATGATTACTAAACCAACAGGGTTTAATTAAGGCAGTACAAATCACTCCGGATAGTTTATGCACCTGATTTGTATCATTGCCCATTATGTACCGGGTCTTGTTTCATGATGGGGGAAGTGAGAGCTCTCCAGGGGTCAATAGCACCTGTTGAGTAGTATGTTCTCAGGTGATACTTTGAATAAAAAAAAAAAAGTATAGTGTTTAACAATGAAAGAAACAAAATATTAAAAAAAAAAAAAAAAAAGGCAAGCTAATCCATGGCATGAAACCGTATTTACTGTTTGAATACCCAATATTAAGTAACAGCTGGTGAGACAAGTTCAGGAAAGCCAGGTACTCCAAGTTCAGGAAATGTTGGCTCTTTTGCCAAAGCTGACCTTCTAGCACAGATGAAGAAGTGCGAGTGCCTTTCTCCAAGCTTTTGCAATTCCGACAACTTGGTACAATATACCAAATGCTGAGCGATGGGGTTTGGTTACAGACGATGGTGTCACCATTTTACACTTTGGCCCAACATTTTGGTCCCAAGAATCCTGCCGTCTCGTGAACAGGAACAGTGGAAAAGTCAGGTTCACCTGCCAGTTCACATTGCAGTGAACTGAAGAGGGAAGAGGTTGATCAGGGGCAGCCAAGGAGATTTATTGTTTTATGAAAAATGTTTTGGAATCTTTAATGTCTCACCAGAGGCCCGTCTCTATTGGAGAAACATGGCCAGCTAATTGCCAGCTGGATCTCCTGGGTAATATTTACAAATTTGGGGTGAGTCATCTGTTTTCATGGTCTTCTCCAAAAGGTCCCAATGTAGGTTACAATGTGTAAAATTCAAATTATTTTTATTTTGAAAGATAAAAGGATTTCGGTTGACCAGGCTGGGATTTGAGTCTACAGCTCAAAGGAGTCCGTATGTTTACAAATAATCTTGGATCATTAAATCTGCTCTGAATGTCGGAAAAAAAAAAAAATCAATATTGAAAAGGATCCAATAACTTGAAGCAAGCACATCTGCCCAGTGTTTTACCAGTACTGGCTCTTCCAGAATTAGCAGAGGGGAAATTTTTTCTAGGGCAGACAAGATGACAGCAGGAAAACACAGAAACCATGGCTCCTGTCTGCAGTCACTTGCATTGACGGAAACAAGCACATGTGAAAATTCAAGAAAGCTAGCAGATGAGAAAATATCAACAAACAACCAAACCATGGTGCTACCGCTAGATTTCTTTGGGGCTTTAGATTTTGCACATACTGACCAGGTCACAGTGTGTTATTTGAGCAATAGGGTGGGCTGTCAATCTGCACTTGACGGAGAAACATTGGAAAATTGGGTATCAAAAAACCATGTGCATTGTTTTTCAACCTTTTAACACAGCCTGGTGTCTCTCAATCCATGCTCTGCCTCCCAAGTCATGGCTACGGCTCAGTAGGAACATACCTCCCTTTTAGCACCTAAACCACAGCTTTACCTCTTGCTTTTGTTAGAGATAATTCTGTCAAATAATAAAATCGTTAATGGGTAGAAATATGCATTCATGCAGGGATTATTCACACTTTATCATGAGGTGATATCAAGCACTATAGGAGTGAATGACAAGAAATAGGCTTCTGAAATTCAGAGCCCTCCATAAGTATACCATTTTTATTGACAACACATCTTTTAACCCTAATAGTAATGGAAGAAATCCAATAAATGAAACATTTACTGCATAACTTGCCTTATTTTCGGGTGGTGTCTGATTCCTTTCTAGCTGTCTCTAGAAGATGTTTTTAGCCTAATTTGCTCCCTA